GACAAACCCCTCAGCCTGCATCGGCTGTGTAAACCTCAACTCCCGCAAACCCTAAACCCTAAAACCCTAAAACCCTAAAACCCTGAAACCCTAAACCCTACGCCTTGAACCCTAAAACCCTGAACCTAAAAACCCTAAACCTAAAAACCGAAAACACTTAAACCGAAAACCCAAAACCCAAAACCCTAAACCGTAAACCCTCAAACCCTATACCCAAAACCCTAAAACCCTGACCCACAGCTCGGTGTGCCCGATCCGTAGCGACTTGAGTCCCGCAAGCCACGTTTTCGGAACTGCTTGGGACTTCTCCGAAGATAGGGGTACCCTGGAGGGGGTTCCTTTAATAAGCATTATACTCTTTTGGGGTGTATTAAGGGTAAGCCCTTTTTGGGGAAATACCCACTTGCAAACCAAGTATACCATATTTATTCTAGGGGTTTAGGGTTTAGGGTTCAGGGTTTAGGGGTACGTCTTAGTGCCTGCCTTTTTGGGTACCAATAGTTGCGCCCAAACGCCTGTTCCCAAAATGTCCCTTCTCAGCCCATAGAAATCCTAAGCCCTAAACCCTCAACCCTACACCCTAAACCCTAAACCCTAAACACACTGCTTTCAGCATCGGGGTGCAGCCAAAACCGCAGGTTCAAATACCTCTGCATCTCGCAGCACGTCCACTAAGCATCCCTACCTTGACCTTCTCCTCACTACAGGGTTTAGGGTTTAGGGTTTATAGGGTTTAGGATTTAGGGTTTTGGGTTTAGGGTTTAGGGTTTAGGGTTTAGGGGGAGGGACACGTTCAAGGAGCCCTGCACAGGGCCTCCCCTTTGAAACCCAATTCCCTTAAAGCCCCCCAAACCTAAATATCCCTACGACCTGAACACCCTTAACACCCTGAACCCCCTTCAACCCTTGACACTTTCAACCCTAAACCCAAACAAAGTGCCATACCCTAAGCCGTAAGTCGCGTAAACCCTAAACCCTGAACCCTAAACCCGAAACCCCAAACCCTAAACCCGAAATCCTAAACCCTAAACCCTAAATCCTGAACCCTCAAAGCCTCTCTTCATCCTCGAACTGCTCAGGATCTTCTTCTTGGCCAGGAACCTGCACGAAAATTCTTGAACCACCCTAGACCCTCCTATAAAGGGGCTCCTGGCTCGATGCCTGAAGAAGTGGTCTTGAGGCTTTGGGGTGTAAGGTTTAGGCTTTAGGGTTTAGCCGGTGGGGACCATATTAAGGGACCATGGAACCACCCTAAACCCTAAACCCTAAACCCTAAACCCTAAACCCTAAACCCTAAACCTTTAGGGCTTTCGGGGGGTTATGGGTTTAGGGTTTAGGGTTTACGGGTTCAGGGGCTCAGGGAACTACACCTAGATAGCAGGATCCCCCTTATGAAAAGGACGCGCAGGAGGTACCCCTCTTATCGTGAGCCTCCATATTATAAATAAGGGTACCCTTTTTGGTGCGGGGTGCTGTTTATGAAGGAACCAAGAAGCAACAAGGGCAAAAGGGAGGTTACCAAGTACAGCAACTTGAAGGTTTCATGGGTAGTTTTTAGGTAGAGTTCTAGGTACCGTAAATAAGGTTCTACCTGCTACCCTACTTATAGCCCCACTTGTGACTACCCCTGAACCTCCAAGTAGCCCTAAACCCTAAACCCTATACCCTAAACCTCAAACCCCAACCCTAAACCCTAAACCCTAAACCCTAAACTAGGATTCAGGGGTGTAGGGCTTTTGGGGCTCCAGCGAATTGAGGTCAGGGTTTGGAGAGTGAATTTGGTGGTTTAGGGTTTAGGGTTTAGGGCTCATGTTTTCGTTGCAGGGATGTGGGCATCCTGCCCTAACTTCATAGGCTCTGTGAACGGCCGTGCGCAGCTCCAATATATACCATGCTATAACTACCCGTCTGCAGCGTGGCTTAGGCGTTGGACAAAAGGTCTCACTTTGGTGGCTCTACGTGGAGGTTCATGGGTAGGTTATAAGTGGGGTTTTAAAAAAGAAGGGCAAGTACAATCACAACCGCTTTCAAGCCTATTTAGGGTACATCTAACCCTACTTAGAACTACCCATGCCTTCAAGTGGGGAATTTAGCGGTTTCGGCTTCGGGGGTTCAGAAGCAAGCAGTTTTCGGCTTTGGGCTTGGGGGTTAAGGGCTCGCAATACTTGGGCAGTTATAAGTAGAGTTTTAAGTCAGGGTTTCTGGGGCTTAGGTTTAGGGTTGATAAGTAGGGTAACTATAGAAATGGGTGCCTATAACCCTTCTGCTAACTTCCCATGTACTCTGAAAACCCTAAACCCTAAACCCTAAACCCTAAACCCTAAACCCTAAACCTTAAATCCTAAACCCTAACAAGAAGCCGCGAGTATTAAACGACATCCGAGACACTGAATACCGCTCCATGAAGAGCGCCACCGGTACCTTGAGGCGCGGTTTAGGGTTTAGGGTTTAGGGTTTAGGGTTTAGGGTTTAGGGTTTAGGGTTTAGGGTTTAGGGTTTAGGGTTTAGGGTTTAGGGTTTAGGGTTTAGGGTTCGGGGTTTAAGGTTGGAGTGTTGGCGGGGTGGAGGGTTGGAGGGTTGGAGGGCTTAGGGTGTCTACGTACCCAACATGAATGGCCAAACAAAGGCTTCTGTTGGGGTAAGCCCCTTACTTGGAGGTTCATGGGTAATGTTGACTTCGCATTAATAAACCCCCCCCCCCCCCTCCCCCCCTTGATTGATCAATCTCTCCGGCCAGGGCCTCCTCAATTAAATTCGCCTAAATCCTGGTAGGACGTACTATTAGTTTTAGTATTAGGTCAATTATATTCGCCCGTAAAAAAACAATTCCCGGGCCTGATTTGATAATTGTGGCGGGCTATATTATTGTGTTCTGGCAGGTGGATTTTATAATTGCGGCGGGAATTCCTAATGTGAAGTCAACATTAATCATCAGTAGGGTTTACAGGTTACAACCTTACTTAGGGTACTTATACCCCTACTGATAGCTACCCCTGAACCTTCACCTAGTGGCTTTTTAGTAGGGAATGACCGAACTAGGCACCCTAGTCACGACATAAGCCCTTAAAGCCTTAAAGGGTACAAAGGGGATACAAGGTACCTAATTCCCTCATTCCCGACTTAGTTCAAGTATCTGATCAAAGGAGCACCGGTTTTAGTTTAAAGGGGCGGCTAAGGGAACCTAAGCCCTAAAACAAAAGCACGGAGGCCTACTCTGGGTCCTAGTTACCCTGAACCCAAAAACTCTAAATCCTAAACCCTAAATCAAGAGAAAAAAGGGCCTACCCCGGGTCCTAGGTATTCATACCCAGGGAACCTCAAGCTAGCCCCGAAAAACAAAACCTGGGGCTACTAATTTATATAGATAGAGAACGGTCTCTAAACCCTGGACCCTAAACCCCGAAAGCTGGGTCTTGCTTTTTAGTTTCTGGACGTCGATGGCGTTGCAGAACTCAGACTCCCGAAGCCCAAAATGGGAACTTGAAGGGTTTTTCTAGGTTGGAGCGTTCGATTTAGGGTTGTAGAGTTTGGGGTTTTAGCGTTGTTTCGGGTGACCCTAAACCCTAAACCCTAAACCCTAAACCCTAAACCCTAAACCCTAAAACTTAAACCCTAAACCCTAAACCCGACACCCTAAACCCTGAACCCTTTTGGCTTCAAGGCTTCTGCCAGGAAGCGTTCAGTGGATCGTAGGTCTCGCCTAGCAGCCACTCCTGCGTCTACAAAAGAAGGAAGCGCTCTGGCTTTGTAGGGCGAAGACCTAAAGCCCTTAGGGTTTAGGGTTTAGGATTTAGGGCTTAGGGTTTAGGGTTTAGGGTTTAGGGTTTAGGGTTTAGGGTTTAGGGTTTAGGGTTTAGGGTTTAGGATTTAGGGCTTAGGGTTTAGGGTTTGGTATATACTTGGGCCCTTAAGCTATTACATGGGATCCCCTTTAAGTATCCGAAAAAAAAGGCACACGGACCCTGAACTCCAAAACACGACTGAATTGCTGGTGAGTTTTAGGGTTGAGCAGTAGATTGTTCGGGGATATAACCTACGAACTTCGGAGAAGGGCTACATTCTAAGAGTTATTGTTCTTCGACGTGCTGTGAGGCCTTTCCGCTTTCCAGAAGAGGCGTCTGACTTTGGTGGTACTCCATAGGTTCGCCCGAAAACCTTTGACTGTTCGTTTAATGCGGTGCATGACTCTAAGCAGTACGGAAGGTTTTAAGGCTTAGCATCAGTTTAGGGCCCTAAACCCTGAACCCTCGCTACTCGGTTGGAGGTTCATGGCACACAGTACTTATTAAACCTAAACCCAAAACCCTAAACCCATGGTAGGGGAATTAAGGGGTATATGTGCACAGTGATAGATGGGTTGCTGGGTACCATGAACCTGCCCGTAAACACCATTGAGCCCCCTCGAGTGGAACCTACCCGAAGGGTCCCACCATGTTATTATGTGCTTGGGCCCAGAACTCCCTAGACAGGAGGTAATTCAAGGCCCTCCACCCTAAACCCTAAATCCTAAACCCTAAACTGGCCCTAAACTCTAAACCGGGGTACTTGGAGTTGTGGCTTCGGATTTTACTTCCTGGAGGTTTCGATTCTTCAACAATCAATGACGCCAGGGGCGCCACCGTCCCAGAACTCCGGAGAGATTCCTCCCTCAAACCCTAGGCCTATAACAGTAAAAAAGTATACTCAGCTAAGAAAATGGTAGTATATTCAGACAACAGCATAAAAAGTACAATAGTATAAACAAGTAATATATGATTTGGGTCCAAGATCCTGCCACACCAAAAAACTCTTTGCCAAGGCAAGGGACACATAAGAACGAACTATTGAGTCCAGCCTACAGGTCCTTGATTGGGATGGACTGGGATCAAAGTCCCTGAAACAGGAATCCCTGCTAAAACTGGAACCTGCTACCGTATGACTACTTGACCCTCAGGTTTAGGGTTTAAGGTTTAGGGTTTAGGGTTTAGGGTTCAGGGATTAGGGTATTTTTTGAACAACTGCCATATGTTTTAATATTCCTAGGTGGCCACTACATGAGGTCGGGGCGGCACGTCCCCTAAGAACCCCATTGAACGTATGTTTTTCCATATTCCCTTGGGGTCGAAGCAAAACGACAATTGAAGCATTGTAACCCGTTTTTGGAGTTTACTTTCCTAGGACATAACGGTTCCTCGAAGGTTGTAAGTTAAAAAAGGGGGAACACCACAAAGGACGCAACGCCCCTTCTGAAACCCATGGGCTTTTGGGCTCTTAAGGGCTTCAAGGGCTTGTTCATCCGAAACCCTAAAACTCAACCCTAAACCCTAAACCCTAAACCCTAAACCCTAAACCCTAAACCCTAAACCCTAAACCCTAAACCCTAAACCCTAAACCCTAGGGTGCGAAAGGCTTTTGAACCCATGCCTCGACCACGTGGAATGGCACCGAACCGTTTGCTAGAAGGACCTTGCCTCGGTCTTTGTGCAGTGTTTAAGGCATAGGGTTTATGGGGGTTAGGGTTTAGGGTTTAGGGGGTTTAGGGGATTTAGGGGAGCTTAGGGGGTTTGGGTTTAGGGGCTTGATGGGGGCTTGGGGTGGTTTTGGGGTCTATTAGCGCGATTTCGGGTTTCATATTTTTTGTTAAAGAACTTTGCATTTCCAGGGCTCTGCAGCAATCTGCTTTAGGATGTTTCGGTGTACTTGAGGTTGAGGGGCATTCATGGAATCGGGCTTGGAGGTTTGGAGTAGGGGAAATGCATAGATACAAACCGGCTTACTACGTCAGATCAGATTACAAACCCTAAGCCCTGACCTACTTCTAAGTGCCCAGAAGCCTCCAAGTAAACTCTCAGTTTCAAGCCTTAGTCCACAAGCCTCACTGGATAGCATTGTCGAAAGCCTGCCCAAGCTTAGCAACCAAATCGTGCAACGTCGTCAAGACACTCTTCCTGCAAGGGTTCCCTTACAGTGAGGACCCCAATATCCCTAAACCCTAAAGCCCTAAATCCCAAACACCAAACCCTAAAGCCCCTTATCAACCCTAAATCCTGAGGCCCAGGTGCTGGCTCCTTCAGTGCGACTCTCACCGAGTTCAAGCACCCTGGCACAGGATCGAAAATTTTAGGGCTTGGGGTTTAGGCCTTTAGACCCTGAACCCTAATCCCTGAACCCTGAACTCTAAACCCTAAACCAAAAAAACCGAAAATACAGGGTTTTGGGTTTGGGGGCTGCCACACGGAAGCGTGCTTCGTAAGATTGCAGCCGGTTAAAGACACACACGCCCCAAGACCGCCCGCCTTGAGGTTTGCCCTCCGTACCTCTTCCAACGAACACCATACTTGAAGGTCCATGGGTACCTATAAGTAGGGGTATAAGTAGTCTAGGAAAGGTTATCACTAGTTATAATTTTAAAGTAAGGATATCACCAGTGATTAATTAAAGGGTTACCCTGCATATAACCCCCCCCCACCTTTTAACTACCCATGAACCTCCAACTAGCCCTCAACCCTAAGCAGCCTAAACCCTAAACCCTCATCGGCCATAGGCTCCGGCACCTCCCCCTTGGATCAAGCATACCCTAGGAATAGACATGGTTTAGGGTTTAGGGTGTAGGGTTTAGGGTTTAGGTGACAAAGGGAATAAGGGCCTACTCTGGGTCCTAGACCCCCTTGGCTCAAGCAAGTTCGGCCTCTCCTGCTTGAAAAAAGGGCCCACCTGTCAGACCCTAAACCCTGAACCCTAAACCCTAAAAACTAAACCCTAAACCCTAAACCCCAAACAACCGGCCGTTTCGGGCAGCCAATGTTTAAAGCTCGGCCTGAGACCTGTGATTTGCCTCCAGGGCCGGCTCTCTTTGGCAACAGCCGGCTTTTAAAAAAACGAAGGAAACAGGCTAACAGGCCAACCAAAACAAAATATGCCCAGTGTTGCTGCGAGATGTTTAATGCTAAATGGCGAGCTGCTGTCGATGTATCTATAGTACAGTTAGTTTGTGGTGAAAACATGTACTGAGCCTAGAACTCATCCTAGACTCTTTAAGAATAGGGCCCTATTCTTTCCATATCGGGTCGCCATTGGTAAGACAATGACCCTGCACGTAGGCCCGGAACCGACTTTTGTGGACCCAAAACCCTAAACCCTAAACCCTGAACCCTAAACCCTACACCCTACACCCTAAACCCTAAACCCTAAACAATATGTCTTGCAACCCACCAGCCTGGCGAAAAGTTTCTTGGCCAGTGCTTGCATTCCTGGGCATGGGCGCTGCTCTACATCAATTAGGGCTTAGGGCTTAGGGCTCAGGGTTTCGGCTTCAGGAATTGGGGTTACCAAACAGGGCTTCGGGCTGTTGAGTGCTCCCCAAGCCCTAAATCCTAAGCCCGAAAACCCACAGGCCTCAGCCCCAAACCCTAAACCCTAAACCCTAAACCCTAAACCCTAAACCCTAAACCCTAAACGGCAAGCGTCGGATGTGGGAGGGCATGGCGTCGCGCGACACCAGTCCGAAAATTGCCCCCACTCCGCCTCGGCGTGTGCTTCTTCGGACGTGGTACTCTCTTCGATCATAGTCTTGATATCAATTCTATAATCTAATGAATGATCAATGCAATTCCTAATACATGAAATGTCCTAAAAAATTTTCTTCGTTTCTCCTCAGAATCTAATAACCGGGCGAGAAAAAGAATAATGGCTTTCCCCAATTCAAAACCTAAGATCATAGTGTACCTGAACGGCCCTAATAAACGATCAAAGAAAAGGCCCGTGTAAAAAATGTAAGCAAGGAACGAAGGTTATTATTAATGGGGCGTGCGAACCCTACTTCTCCAATAACCAAGGGAGAAAAAAGGTCAAACTTTATTCTTCCCAGTAAATAAGGAAACCAAAAAAGTTGAAAGTTCGGCTATGGGCTAAGTAAGCAACTAGTGCACTAATACAGTTCATGCACGCGTTCGTCCGTTCGGTTTCTTGTTCATTCACTTCACTCCCTTACCGTGCGTTTTTAGAGTTAAAAGGCTGCCTGAGACGGTGAGGGGTTTAGGGTTTAGGGTTTAGGGTTTAGGTTTTAGGGTTTAGGGCTTAGGGTTTAGGGTTTTGGGTTTAGGGTTTAGGGTGACTCCAGACTTGAAAGGTTGGCTTTAGGCTGCTAAGGGCTTCATTCCTTACCCAGAGGTAGTTCGAAGTAGGGTTAAAAGTAGGGTAACTACACTTCCAACTTACCTAGGGCACTTATAACCTTACGTCTAACTACCCATGAAACCCCCCAAGTAGCACTAAACCCTAAACCCGAACCCCTACTGAATACTACCCATGAACCTCCAAGTAGACCCTGCACAGACTTCTAGAGTTTAGGGCTTAAGGGGCTTAGGGTTTAGAGTTTAAGGGGCTTAGGGGTTTAGGGTTCAGGGTTCAGGATTTAGGGGTTCAAAGTTTAGGGTGTACGGTTGGGTCTAGGGCCCCTAGACATCTGTGTTAGGTGAGGCGCGAAAAAGGGCGACCAGCATGGCCACGAACTCTACCTCCTCAAAGGTATAGCTGTCGTTCTCATCGAACACACCTGACTTTATAGGATTCTTAATATTAAGGGAGGGCTTAGGGTTTGGGTTTAGGGTTTAGGGTTTAGGGTTTAGGGTTTAGGGTTTAGGGTTTAGGGTTTAGGGTTTAGGGTTTAGGGTTTAGGGTTTAGGGTTTAGGGTTTAGGGTTTAGGGTTTAGGGTTTAGGGTTTAGGGTTTAGGGTTTGGGGTTTGGGGTTTGGGGTTTAGGGCTTGGGGTTTAGAGCTTGGGGTTTAGGGTTTAGGGCTGTCGTTCCAACCGAACACCCTTTACTGCACTTGGAGGTCCATGGGTCGTTAGAAGTGAGTTAGATGTAGGGTGTAGGGTATCTACAACTATGACTGGTCATAACCGTAAAAAAAAGATACTACTAACCCTACTAGCTGACTTATAGCTACCCATGAACCCTCAAATAGCCCTAAAAATCCTGAACCTTGGACCTTAAACCCTACATGGTCCTTCACAAGGCTTGACTTTCCGGCCTCAGGATGCACTATCCACAAGGGTTGTTGTTTCGGGTTTAGGGTTTAGGATGAGGGTATTGGGTTTAGGGTTTAGGGTCTAGTCTTCAACCAGAAACCCTTAACACCCCAAACTCCAAACCTAGAACCGGTTGGGCTGGGCAACCGCTGGCTTCAGGGCTACTGGTTCAGGTCAGGTTCAGGGGCTGTCAGGGCTTAGGGTTCAGAGCTAAGGTTTAGGGTTCAGGGTTCAGGGTTGTCCGCCTTTGCAAAAGCGGACAATTAGGGGGTGAAGGGTTGAGGGTTTGGAGCTCAGGGGCTTGCAGTTTCTTTAAGAGGCTTCTTAGCGAGACTTGCGGTGCAACACATGACCGAAGTCATCCTAAAGTAGCTGCCTGATCATGCATTCGGTTCCTGCTAGCAGGGACCTTCAACCCTGAACACTAAACCCTAAACCCTACACCCTAAACCCTTAGCAGGAGGGCTGCATTGTCACGACAGGATCGTCGTAACCGGAAACGGCTAGCGCTTTGGAGATCCCAAGCAATCTAGCAACATGACCGGCTCCCTTGTTGGCATTCCCGGATTGGGGTTTAGGGTTTAGGATTAGGGTCTAGGGTTTAGGGTTTAGGGTTTAGGGTTTAGGGTTTAGGGTTTAGGGTTGTTTAGGGTTTAGGGTTGAGGGTTGAGGGTTGAGGGTTTAGGGTTTAGGGTTTAGGATTAGGGTTCAGGGTTTAAGGCATATGATATAGGGTTTATGGCGTGTACAATGCCGCGAATGACGACAGCCAAGGTGCCTAAAAGGAACCGTATCTTTTGCTTCTTTGAGATACCTACTTGGATCTAGGGCTTGGGGTTTAGGGTTTTAGGGTTTAGGGTTTAGGCGTTTAAGTGCGACAGCCAAGGTGCCTAAAAGGAACCGTATCTTTTGCTTCTTTGAGATACCTCAGCCGCGCGGACGCTTAAAAAGGCTGCTTGTGCGAGGCTTGGGGCTCTATAGGGTGCATCCGGGAGCCCTGCGAGCATGCTATTTTCTACAGGTAGCCCTAAACCCTAAACCCTAAACCCTAAACACTAAACCCTAAACCCTAAACCCTAAACCCTAAACCCTAAACCCTGAACCCTAAACCCTAAACCCTAAACCCGTTCGGGATTGCAAGGAGGGGCCGCCCTAGAAAAACTAACTGTAGCTCTTAGGATGCCCAGGAACCTAGCATGAAAACAGGGTGCCCCTCTGTTTGCTTAAAGGGCTTAGGGTTTAGGGTTTAGGGTTTGGGGTTTAGGGTTTAGGGTTTAGGGTTTAGGGTTTAGGGTTTAGGGTTTAGGGTTTGCGGTTTGGGGTTTAGGGTTTGGGGTGTAGAGTTTAGGGTTATTATGGAACCTTCGGATGTTCCCCCCTTATACTGCTAGTCCTAACTCGGGATTCTAGGCCCCCCCCCCTCCCCCCCCAAAGAAAGGAATATGGGTACTGGGCGGGCATCCGAGGTTGAGGGACTTTAACTCCACGTTGAACTAGGGCGGGAAGGCTCCTTGTAGGGTTTAGGGTTCAGGGTTTAGGGTAGAGGGTTTAGGGCCACGAAACTTTCAAAGAACAAAAGAAGGGTTTAGGGTAGAGGGTTTAGGGCCACGACACTTTCAAAGAACAAAAACACGTCAACATCAACCACGGTAATGAACTTCCAGGTCAGGGGGCAACGGTTTGGGCAAGATTCTAAAGCCAAGTTATCTGAAGTTCTGAAGGTATCAGTAAGCAAAGAATTCTGGAAGTGAGTGCTTCCCCAAACAGGGGTACCCCTAATTTACCCCAAAGTGCTTGAACCCTTCTTGTGGGAACCTTAGAAGCCCAATTTCGGAAACCCCCACCCTTAAACCCAAAACCCCAAAACCCCAAACCCCAAACCCCAAACCCCAAACCCTAAACCCTAAACCCTAAACCCTAATCCTAAACCCTAAACCCTAAACCCTAAACCCTGAACCCTAAACCCATATCTGCAAGGTCGATGTTGCAAGACGTGTCGGAGGGCTTAAGCTTTCGGGGGCACTCAAGGGTCTTCCTCCCCAAGCCAGGGTGTAGGGTTTAGGGTTCAGGGTTCAGGGTTAGGGTTCAGGGTTTAGGGTTTAGGGTTCAGGGTTCAGGGTTCAGGGTTCAGGGTTCAGGGTTCAGGGTTTAGGGTTGAGGGTTTAGGGTTCAGTTCAGGGTGTACCCCCTTGCAGACCATGCCTCTACCGGCCAAAGACACGGAAAGCCTTCAACCCGAGGTGGCTTGAGCCCAAAAAAAGTTCAGCGCTTTCCTCGAGGAAGCTGTAGAAAGGGACTGCACTTTAATTCTTGGGTATGTTTACCATTTTTAAAATAGGGACGTGGCTACTCTCACTAGTGGTTTTGGCAAGCCTTGTGCGAGCTGAGGCGCTAGTGGACATCCAAATGCAGGCGGTCAGGAAGGCAGGCATGTTAAGCCTCACCTGAAGTGGTCTTGGGGCTTGGGGGGTCTAGGGTTTAGGGTTTAGGAATTCGGGCTTAGGGTTTAGGCTTTCGGGGTGGTAGGGGGGGGGGGGGGGGGGGGGGGGGGTGGAGCCGTGAGCGACTCGAGCCCAACGTGCTCTAAACCCAGAAGCACATGAGGGAGCTAACATCTAGAACCCTAAACCCTAAACCCTAAACCCTAAACCCGGCACATAGGCTCCCAAACGCCCAACTGTAGCCTAAAAGGCCTCAACCAGCCTTATGGTTTAGGGTGTAGGGCATCGATTTAGGGTTCAGGGGTCCAAAAATGCTCTATGCTTACGGTTGTCCTGCATGTTGTTGAGCCCCAAAACTACAGGTTGAAGAGTGCGCAAAGCCTCTGGGATACTTCTCTACAAGAGAATGTGGAGGTCTTAACCGCAGAACATTTCTAGATCCGCTTAGGACTGAACCATGAACCCTTGTTGCGACCTCAATCCCATGTAAGTGACCAGAAATACTTATAATTACTCTACTTCAGACCCCAAACCCTAAACCCTAAACCCTAAACCCTAAACACTAAACCCTAAACCCTAAACCCTAAGCCCTAAACCCTAAACCCTAAACCCTAAACCCTAAACCGAAACCACTCAAGAACCTCCAAGTACGGCTCTAGAGACTCCTACCTTGGGGGTTCTCAAAGACTCCAGTATCCTTTAACTAAGGATTTAAATCTAAACCCGTAAACCGTGAACCCTAGACCCTATAAACCCTAAACCCTAAACCCTAAACCCCTAAACCCTAAACCCTAAACCCTGCACTCGAACTTTAAGGTTCAGGGCATTCTCCTTCCATCCGATTCCGTACTTGTTTGGGCTGAGTCTCTCCGAAACTGCTGGGACCAGAGACCATACCATCTGTCCATCCGTGAAGTTTGGGCTACTATTTGCTCAAGAACCCCCCCACCCCCCACCCTCAACACAAACTGAATCAACAATATTCTTCCCCCCCCCCCCCCCCCCCCCCCCCCCCCCCCCCCCCGCGCTCAAAAACATCGTCCTTATGAGGGCAAAAGGGAGCATGATTCTTGAGTTTTTTGTGGTTCCCAGGCAAAAAACAGTAAACACCCTGAACCCGAAATCTCTAAACCCTAAATCCCTAAACCCAAAACCCCTAAACCCTAAATCCCTAAACCCTAAACCTTAAAACCCTACGTCCTCACCATCTCTAACCCTAAACCGAGGGTTTTTAGGGTTTAGGATCTAGGCGCCTTAGCCCTCAACTTTGGAGCCGAAGTCTCAAGCCCCTAGACCCCTTTAGGGTTTAGGGTTTAGGGTTTAGGGGTTAGGGGTTAGGGGTTAGGGGTTAGGGTTGAGGGTTTAGGGTTTCGGGTTTAGGGCTACTTGAAGGTCCATGGGTAGTTAGAAGTAGGTTACAAGTACTCAGGATAAGGCTATCACCAATTTTCATTGCAGATACCCTACTGATAAGCCCTCTTATAATTACACGTGAACCTGCAAGTAAGCCCTAAACCCAAAAACCAAAAACCCTAAACCCTAAACCCTAAACCCTAAACCCTAAACCCCCCACCTCCCGAGCTTTCCTGACAAGGAGCCTTGCTGTAGTCCTGAGCGGACTTCATCATCTGGAGCTTGGCGTACCCGCTGGGGTCGAAAAGTTTCACGAACTCCAACACCTTAGGGTTTAGGGTTTAGGGTTTCGGGATTCGGGTTTAGGGTTTAGGGTTTAGGGTTTAGGGTTTAGGGTTTAGCTAGCTTGACTTTTGACTTGAGGTTTAGGTCTTAGGGTAATTACATGCCTTAAAGGGAGACCACTTCGGAGCCTTTGAAGGAAGGTAGAGGACCACAGTATGGGACCATGTAACTAACGTTAGAGTTTGAGGTTTAGGGTTTAGGCTTTAGGGTTTAGAGTTTAGGGCCTAGGGTGTTTGATGATGTGGTGTCTGGACAGGATGACACTTCATGTGGGGGTTAGGGCTTAGGGCTTTTTACCACAGCAAGGGCTGGTAAGGATGTGGTAGGTTGGTTGGTCCGGGTTTTAGGATTTAGGGCTGAAGGCTTAGGGTTTACCACGTGTCAAAATGTTGGCTTTCTAGGTGTGCCTTCGAAAGCCCTTGAACACATTCCGTTAGCCAACGGGTATCCGGCTTCCATTCCCAGGAACGGGCTTTCGAGAGCTTGGTTTCTCCTAAACCCTAAACCCTGACCCTAAACCCTAAACTGCCCTAAACCCTAAGCCCTAAACCCAAAACCCAAAACCCTAAACCCCCCACCTCCCGAGCTTTGAAAAAAACACCACCTAAGACGTCTCCGGCACCAGACGGACGTGTCGCTACCCTAAGGCCTAAAAGCCATAAAGCGCTAAACCCAGATGTAGGACAAATCTCTGACAACCCAAAAACCCTCAACCCTAAACCCCCGTTCTGCGAGCCCCAGTGTTATGACGGGCTTAGGGTTTGGGGTTTAATCAAGGTTTAGGGTGCCATCGCCAAAGGAAAGAGTCACTGTAGGGTTTGAGGTTGTTGTTGCCTTGCTCACTTAGAGACACGTTTAGGGGCTTAGGGTTGTTAAGGGTTGTTTAGGTCTAGGGGTTTGGAGTTTAGGATTCAGGGGCTTAGGATTTAGGGCAGGGCTTAGGGTGTAGGATTTTAGTGTGGCTTAGGGTGGCCTACTTCTACAACGACCCAGGAAGGTTCAATCCCTGTGATACTACAGGGCGTTCAGGATCACACCCTAAACCCTGAAACCTGAACCTTAAAGCCTGCACCCTAAACCCTAAATCCTAAACCCTAAATCCTGAACCCTAGGCCCTAAGCCCTAAATCCTAAACCCTAAACCCTGAACACTAAAGCCTCAATAGGGCATTCAGCATCACATAGCCATCCCATAGAGGGCCCAAATCTGCGATTTAGGGTTTAGGGTTTAGGGTTTAGGGTTTAGGGTTTAGCGTTTGGGGATCAGGGCCGGGGCCTTCGGCATGGGAATTGCAAGGAGCTCCTGCATAGCCCGTGTTCTCGGAACTATTCGGAGTCCCTGTTAGAATAGCTAAGCCCTACAAACCCTAAACCCGACATCCTAACCCTAAACCCTAAAACCCTAAACCGTAAACCCTAGACCCTAAATCACCTACCTATCAAACTGTCTTGCTTTTTGTTGGTTAGCAGGCAATGAGGGAATTAGGGCCCTATGTATACCCTTTAAGGAATTTTACGGGGTACCTCATTCCCCCATTCCCTACTGACCAACAGTTAGAATAAATCATCCTCAGACGGCCGCTTGAACTTAGTGTTAATGTCCAGGGGTCTACTTGAAGGTTCTTAGTTCTTGGTTTGAGGTGGGGCTACCCTTAACCCCAAAAAACGCTACTCACTAACCCGCATTGGCCGACGGAAACCTGTGAACATTTAACATACCTATGGTGTTCTTAAACTGTAGGGTTTGGAGTTTAGGGAAGGTGTGATTCGGGTTCCTTAAATCCTAAACCCGAATCCCTAAACTCTAAAACCTGAACCCAAACCCTGAAAGGCAAACAAACGCATGCCCGTGCTTCTCAGGGTAGCTACATGGTTCCATCATTGGAGGCCCCTAATATACCCCTTACATGCCCTGCAAAACTCAAGGGCCAATACTTCAAAACCCTAAAGAAAGTAAGGGACCATACTAGGCGGCCAATTGCGTTTATGAAAAGGGTTTAGGGTTTAGGGTTCGGATTTAAGGATAACGGGATCCGAACTTGGGTATATGGTTACATGCTATGCAGCGTGCCAACTTCACATGGGGGACTTCTACGAAACATACCTATCCTGAAGGGACCACACCTTAGAAACCTCTCCACATACCCATATTGTTTACGTACCCAGAGCCCTAAACCCTAAACCCCATGAACCTCAACCGCCAAAGCCCCAAGAGCCGAAACCCAGTACAGTCACTAAAGCCCCAAAAGCCCAAACCAGCAGAGTAAGAAAGAGTCGGAATCTAGGTCCCCAGACTTCTCACCCCTGCGACATAAGCTTGGTGAGGGTTAGCGTTGAGGGTTCAGGTGAAGGCCCGGTGCTTGCTATGGGAGCTTCGGGGTTAGGGTTTAGAAGGTTTGCGAGGGGTTGGGAACTTACGGCTTCGGGTTGCGGGCTTCGGGAGACATAACCTTCTCAAGTCCTCGACCTCAGGTTCAGGGGTTTAGAGTTGAGGGGTTATAGACTTTGGGGATAGGTCTAGGATGCATGTCAGACCAGCACCAGCAGCCGGCATACACTGCCGCGCACTTTGCGCAGCGGAGCAGGATGACACTGCCTGGAAGGACGCCGCGCGCCAGGGTGAAGTACCAATCGCAAGCGCGTCAGCGGTTTCCCGCAGGCGCAAGTTGAGGGAATGAAGGTATATTCCCTAAACCAGGGACATGGGCTTCTGGGTAAGGACCTCTGACATGCGAGGGTTTAGGGTTTAGGGTTTAACTAGGGTTTGGGGGTTTGGGTTTTGGGGTGTAGGGTTGAACTTGCAACATCTTACAACCGTGGAAGGGATGCCTTATGACGGTGTTTTCCCCAAACAGCCCCCCACCTCCCCCTGCTCCCCCCTGGTGAGCAAAGTAGGGTTTAGGGTATAAACGAGTCCTTTCAATAGGGTCTAACCAGTTCAAATTCGAGTTACCCTACTTATAACTTATAACCCTACTTCTTAAAACGGTGCTCAACGAAACTGTGTCCTGCATCTCGAAAGCGTTGATGAAGTTGGGAGCCTGACGTAGGAGTTACTTTACTCTGAAACTCGGCGATTCCGGGGTCCGTTATGACTGGGGTTAAGTACGGGCAACTAGAGTAAAGCCACAAGTGGGTTACTATAGGGCTTATCCGCAAGCAGTGCTGGCGAGATGGGTCCCTACGATACCCTCAGGGTCCATGTACCTACATAGGGAGTACTTGGGCCTTAAAGGACCTCTTACATAGGACTTTTGGGCCCAAGTATATAATAATGTGGTACTCAACCCGAAACCCTAAACCCTAAACCCTGAACCCTGAACCCTAAACCCTAAACCCTAAACCCTAAACCCTAAACCCTAAACCCTAAACCCTAAACCCTAAACCCTAAACCAGAACCCCTAAACCCTAAGCCCTAGACCCAAGGTTTCGGCGTCGCAGCAGGCGCCGAATCGCCGTGTCATGAACGGGATGAAGGCTCTTAAAACCCAAATATGGGGGGTTTACGATATTGGGGTACCTATTGGGGTCCTTATTGTAAGGAGATTCTATTATTCGGGGGTCGGTTTTATCTATAGAATAAAGAAACAATAACGACAAATAAATGAAATCTAGTAAAACCGCATTAAAACACAAGAGATCCTAAACAATCATGAAAAAGCCCAAAAAACCCAGTAAAACCCAATAAACAACCCTAGTATAGGCGTCTGAATAATTCGAAAAAGTGTTTTTTTCTTACTTATTCGTTTTATTTTTTGAGGGGGGGGGGGGGGCGTCCTTACAGTATACATATATACGGGACCATAAGGGAATAATAAACGTCAACCTGGCCTGTCCCGGCACCCACTTGCCGATCTCTTGCCAGCGGTTGAAGACGCCAACCCAATTTCCCAGGGACCTCCGGTCAGGGTGTAGGGTTTAGGGTTTAGGGTTTAGGGTTTAGGGTTTAGGGTTTAGGGTTTAGGGTTTCGGGTTTAGGGTTTGGGGCTAGGGGTTTGGAGTTTAGGTTTTTGGGGGTTTACCCACAGGCTCCAATTGTTTGTACTTCTTGGGAGTAGTATACTATCACCCCCCTACAATGAAACCAAAAAAGGAACCACATTGAAGCCTTCACGTGGGGTTTGTGGTTTCAGGTTTAGGAGGTACTGAGCCCTAAAACCCCAAATCCTAAAGGGGAGTAGCCCTAAGCCCTATACCCTGAACCCCAAACCCCCAAACCCTAAACCCTAAGCCCTAAGCCATCTTTAAGTCCTTCAGGTGTTTCATGGGCTCCCCTACTACCCCCTCTATACTGCCTCCCGGAGGGGGGGGGGGGGGTAGTCAAGACAGGGCCAGCACGTGCGGCCCCTGCAAGACAGTGTCTGCTAGGGTTTAGGGTTTAGGGTTTAGGGTTTAGGGTTTAGGGTTTAGGGTTTAGGGTTTAGGGTTTAGGGTTTAGGGTTTAGCTTGGGCTCAAGGATCCTTAGCCCTACAGTGTGTGACTCATGTAGCGCGTTGGGGGCTACGCCCGCCGCCCTACAAAACCTGACCCGACCCCCTCACTGCCTTGACTTCAAACCTGGCCCCTTAACCGGAGCAACTTCAGCCCCAGCCCTAAATCCCGCGCCCTTAACCCTAATCAGGATTTCCCGAAACCCTAAACCCTAAACCCTAAACCCTAAACCCTAAACCCTCAAGGCCCCTGAGAATCCGAAGGCCGCCAAAGCCCCTTTTCAGGCCGCTTTGAGGAGAGCCCGCCTCAATGCCAAGGTCTTGCACACAGCTGTGGGGGCGCCGAGGAGAATGCTGCTCCTGCCGAGACTATGAAGCTAAGGTTTGGGGTTTTAGGGTTTTAGGGTTTGTAGGGTTTGTAGGGTTTTAGGGTTTGTAGGGTTTTAGGGTTTTCGGGTTTCAGGGTTTTTAGGGTGTTAGGGTTTTAGGGTTTTGGGTCTTGGGTTTAGGGTCTAGGGTTTCGGGTTCTCTCAAGGGGGGTTAGGTCATGAGATCTGGTCGGCGAAGCCCGCAACACCCTTCCTCCTACAGAAACTTAAGGGGGTCACGGCCGGGGGGGGGGCGGGGCTGATTCTCAAACTTCTTACTTTGAGGATGCATAAGCTTTAGGGCTTAGTGGTTCAGTGTTTAGGCTCCCAAAACCCTAAGTCCAACACTCACTGAACCCTCAATCCTAATCACGGCCGAAAGCCTGAACCCTGAGATTCACATTAACCTCATATCTCTCACTAACGATGTGCACACCCGCGCAGCCCCGAGAGGCTTGTAGAAATTGCGGGGGTAGTGCTGGTGGAAGTCGATAGCCCTCCCTATGCGCCCTTCACGCACGCACACACACACACATTTCTCAGCAGGCAATGCAGTGGAAGGGACGCCAGCAGGGCCAGCGTGCAACATCATAGCTGTTAACATAAGCTTGGGTCACAGAGTCCGTCCCTTAAACAACAACAACCGCACGCACACTGATTTGTTCAACGCTTTGGGGCTCTATGGCTTTGGCCCCGCACGCCTCATGAAGTTTATGGCTCAAGGGATATAAGGTTTAGCATTTAGAAAGCTTCACGGTTCAAACCCTAGACCCAAACCCAGGGTTCTAGTGTCTAGGTCGTCCCCAGAAACTCCCTAGTGACCACCCTACCCAAGCCGCATGATTCCCCTATGCCAATCGAACCCTCACGTCACCCTTGCCACTAAGAAACCCTAAACCCCACACCTTAGCCCCTCTGAACTCTTTAGGGCCCCGAAAAAGCACATTTACATAGGGAATCTACAAGCAGGGTTGTCCAGAATGCCCCCTTATAGGGGCCCTTATACCCCAAAAATAGGATCCTTATGCTTATGTGGCTTTTGGGCCCTGAACTCGTGCAAGCAAGGGACCAGAAGTCGGGCAGCCAGTCTACGCCCGGAAAGTCCTTGCATGATTCGCTCCACCCCCAAAGGTTTTCGGGTTGAGGGTTTAGGATTTCATTAAACCCTTGTAAACCCTAAACCTAACCCTAAACCCTAAACTCTCTAAGGGCTTTGGGGTTAGGGTTTCCGGTCTATGACTTCACTTTACCTCTAGGTTTCGGGCTTCGGGGCTGAGGGTCTTGGGCTCTCTTTATCTTAGCAAGGGGTAAACATGCCCCTTTTCTTGCGGGTATATCCGTGGTAACCAAAAAGTATACTGTACAGCACGACAAAGTCCGCATGTGCTTCTCGGTCTGGTACCTCTAAGGGCCGCCATTTTGCCGCTTTGGTTGCTTGGCTCTCTCAACCCCCACCCCAAGCCCGTGACTTTATCTTGAGGCTCCAGAAGTTCGGGTTTACCCTAAACCCTAAACCCTAAACCCTGAACCTCTGAAACCCTATTACCTAAACCCCTAATCCCTAAACCGTAAAACCCTTGGTTTTAGGGGTTCTAGAGTATATTCATATAGGGACCATAATATAAGGGAATACTATTATGATCGTATTCCCTTATATGGCCCCTATATAAAAAATCCTCTAGTAACTAAACCCCAAACACTAAACCCTAAACCCCAAACCCTAAACCCTAAACCCCAGCCCCTAAACCCTAAACCCCAAACCCTAAACCCCAAACCCCAAACCCTAAACCCTAAACCCTGCTCCCGAAGCCGCAGAAGCCGCTCCCGCGAACGTGGGTTCCGGGTTCGCGGAGTTTTCAGTTTCTCAGAGGCCCTGAAGCCCTAAACGCCGAAAAGCCCCAAACCCGTTTAGGGTTTAGGGTTTGGGGTTTAGGGTTTAGAGTTTAGGGGTTTAGGGCTACTTGAATGTTCATGGGTAGTGATAAGTAAGGGTTGTATGTGCCCAACATAAGGTTATAACCGTTTATGAACAGGTTTTGCCTACTTATAACCCCACTTATAGCTACCCATGAACCTCCAAGAAGGCTTTAAGGGACCCAATCTCTGAGGCAGCCATCAAAAGCAAGCACTGAGGCCTGACAGCCACAAATCGTGTCGAAAGCATGCTGACCCTACGCACCCAAACCCCTGGCAGGATCCAAACAGTAGAGCCGCCAAATGGTACCGTATACTGCTAGTGGGTCGTTCTTAGGAGCCCTTAAGCGGATCTACTTTTTGGATCCTCCCAGGAACCGGGGAAGCTAAACCCTAAACCCTAAACCCTAAACCCTAAACCCTAAACCCTAAACCCTAAACCCTAAACCCTAAACCCCTAGACATCCTCTACCCCAAGCAGCCATGTAGACATCGCAATCGGGCAACTTAAGTAGCGACTCCGGGTCGACCCGAAAAACGAAACCCTAGAAACCCTAGAGACCCTAGAGACGCTAGAGACCCTAGAAACCTAGAAACCCTAGAAACCCTAGAAACCCTAGAAACCCTAGAAACCCTAGAAACCCTGAACCTTGAACCCTAAGCTTTTGGGGGCAGGTGGGTGAGGGGTTTAGAGCTTCGGAGTGCGCGTTCCCCCTTTTTCTAGCAGTCCTGAATAGGGCTTAAAATAGGGGGTACGATACTCCCTATTGAGGACTGTTAGCAACCCCAAACCCTAAACCCTAAACCCTAAACCCTAAACCCTAAACCCTAAACCCTAATAAAGCACTGTTCGTAGAAGGGGAACATCCCAAGTTAGGGCACTTCCGTCCCGGCCGCCTCCTGGATGGCTTCGCCAATGCACCCCATCGAAACCTCAGAAGGATGGGTAAGGGGTTTAGGGTTTAGGGTCTAGGGTCTAGGGTTTAGGGGTTAGGGTTTAGGGTTTAGGGTTTAGGGTTTAGGGTTTAGGGTTTAGGGTTAGGGTTAAGGGTTAAGGGTTAAGGGTTAAGGGTTAAGGGTTAAGGGTTAAGGGTTAAGGGTTAAGGGTTAAGGGTTAAGGGTTAAGGGTTTAGGGTTTAGGGTTTAGGGTTTAGGGTTTAGGGTTTACGGTTTAGGGTTTAGGGTTTAGGGTTTAGGGTTTAGGGTTTAGGGTTTAGGGTTTAGGGTTTAGGGTTTTAGGGTCCCAAGCCCTAAACCCTAAATCCCAGACCCACTTCACACCTCCCGGGGCACTGTGAAGATCCCTGGGACATATGCCATCGCCAGGAAGCTCAGTACTCGGTACACTGTAAACTAGGCGGCCCAGTAACCCCGGCTGAAAAAGGGTGCCCTTTTTTGCTTCAAGGGGTTTCTCTAAGGGAACCTAAACCCCCCCAAAAAGGGAATAAGGGTACTACTGGGCATCCTAGTAAAGCTGCTACCCGAAACTACTGGTTGATTCAGAACCCCCCCCCAAAAAAAAACTCAAAATAATCCCTGAATTACCCTTATAAGGAAAACTATTCCATTTTTGGGGGGGGCTTCTTAAGCAACTGGTAGGAAACCCTCGGCCCTAAATCTCAACCCTAAGCTCGAAAACCCGCAGCCCTAAAGCCTAAACCCTTCTCTTAGGGTAGTTACATGAGCCCCTAACATGGGCCCCTACGAGAGGGAACACGTGGTATAAACCATAAACATCTTAAACTGAAGTAAGGAGCATAAACAAATATCCGAAGAGCTTGTCAAGGATTGAACTTTAAACCCTACAGCTATCAAGTTGTTTAAGGAATCAGCACGCGGCCTCTCGAAAGGCACCTTATCTTCAAAAAACGCGGATGGCTTCGCGATGCACCAAGCGGGCTCGCTTGAAGGCCGCAGCATACCTAAACCCCAAATTGGAATCCCCTTTTCCGAATACCTCGGCAGTCCCTTGTCTCAATTCCCGCAGCTGCGAAGACGCAGCGCCAGGTTCATCCAAGTAGAGCCCCGACAGCGCAGCTCCTGGAAGGAGTGGATCTCCATATCACATTCCTTATACCTTCTTCGCAAATACCTTATACCTTCTTCGCAAATACCACTCGAGCACCAGCAAGGAAGCTCAGTGTTCAACACTGTTCTTGCAGCCTTGCGTTTTCCTTTGCCTTGAAAGATGGCTGGGCTTGGCTGGACCCCAGCGCAACATATGCACAAACGCCAGTCGACGAACTCACGCATTCCGGCCTGCAATTGAGATTGTGGCACACAACCCTCCAGGCCCCATCATCCCACATAGCACCGTTTCAAACCGGTGTACCGACGCACCGTCAGAGTTCGGGGCCGAAGCGACGCACAGGTGCAAAAAGTGGATGCATCGTTGTATTCATGCGTGCACGGATCGCGGACGATCTCGTGGCGCTCCGTTCTCCAAACTTTGGGCCGGGAACCCGTACATACCCCTTATATATAACCCATAAACATCAAGGGTCCATGCTTCAGAACCCGTTAAAGAAGGTACGGGACTGTATTAAGAGACCATTTAGCTTCCCTGAGACCTTAGGTAAACTCTGTGCCCTAGGAGTCTATGTGCCCGAAACATAAGAGTCCAGAATCACTGAGCTCTAAGCCCTCAACCCTTTGAGCCCTGAACCCTCAACCCCTGAAGCCCTAAACCCCAAACCCCAAAACCCCTAAACCCCAAACCCCAAAACCCCTTTGAAGCATGGACCCTCAAGGGTTTCAGGGTTTATGTGAGTGTGCGTGGGTTCATATCGTTTTATACGGGTCTAAATGGGTTTGTATGCGGCCTCATGGCTGTATGGACTTCCATGGGTTTATGCAGGGTTTTGGGGTTTGGAGTGCTGCAGTGTTTCAGAAACACGGCATGGGGATTTACAAACCCTAACCCCTAAACCCTAAACCCTAAACCCTAAACCCTAAACCCTAAACCCTAAACCCTAAACCCGTTAGGGGGGTGCTGGGGGTTCAGAGGGGCCCCAGCACAAGGAGGAGGAGTCCCTAACCACTGAATAGGCTGGGATCTGGTTTGCAAGCTGCGGGCTGAATGCCTTAAGCCCTTGACCCCATAAACCCTCAGAAGCCCTCATAAGCCCTCATAAGTCCTCTTAAGCCCTCATAAACCCGAAGCCCTGAACCCTAAACCCTAAACCCTAAACCCTAAGCCCTAAGCCCTAAGCCCTAAGCCCTAAGCCCTGAACCTTAAACTCTCCAAAAGCCAGGAACCTTAACTGCCCCCGAGCAACGTCGACGAAGGACATGGGCTTCCTGTTCTCCCCTGTGTGGTTTGGGCAGTTAAGGGTTCATAGGGTTTAGGGTTCATAGTCTAGGGTTTAGGGTTTGGTTAGGGGTTTAGGGTTGAGGGTTCATAGTTTAGGGTTAGGAGGAGTTTAGGGTTTTCGGTTTAGGGTTCATAGTTTCGAGTGTATTGTTTGGGGTTCCTGCACTTTAGGGTTCATAGGGTTCATTAGGGTTACGGTTGGGGTGTTTTAGGTTCATAATAGGGTTTGGGGCGTGGGCTTAGGGATCCAAACCCGAAACCCTTCGTCCCTAGAGCTCTTATAGTAACGCTCAAACAGCCACGGCCCTCCCCAACGCAACCACAGAACACCCTGAAACCCACACTTTGAACTCGAAACCCTAAATCCTAAGCCCTAGATCCTCAACCCTCAACCCTCAACCCTCAACCCTGAACCCTCAACCCTCAACCCTAAACCCTAAACCCTAAACCCTAAAAGGCAGGTGGCTGCTGGAGGCATTCTGTGGGCTGGTATCCGGTGAAGGCATGTCATCCTCGCAGGAGCTCAGTCTCGGGTTAGTAACGGTACCCTTTTTGTCTTGGCTACTTAAAAGGGAACCTCAAACAAAACAAAAAAAGGGTACACGGTCCCACTACCAATGATTTTCTGGGCCCTTACAAGCAGCCCCCCCCCCCCCCCAGTTCTTAGTGGAGTTCTGACGGCCCATAATGATCTTAGGGCCCAAAAAAGGTTAACCATATATATATATATATAGTAGGATTCTGCATAACCAAAAAGTGTAGAGGCTACCTACCCAGTCCCCAAGTGATGCTTGAGGTATAGAAAGGAGGCCCCTCCTTAAGTGTGGCGGCCCTTTTCGTACCGCCCCGTGACCCTCGATCCTAAGTCTTTATAGAACCTGGTTTAGGGTTTAGGGTCTAGGGTTTAGGGCTTAGGGTTTAGGGTTTAGGGTTTAGAACCCATGGGCTACTTAGGGAGTAGGGCGCCTAGAAGTGTAGCTTCAGAAACCATTGAAACCCTAGAAATTCTAGAAGTCCTTGAGCTCTCGAGGTTGAAACCGAGGCGGCAAGAAAAGGTCCTGAAACCTGTTCTCGAGGATTTAGGGTTTTTGGGCCTCTTCAGGAGCTTCCCTGAGGTTCCCTGGGTACCTACCCCTCATGAACCTCCCCCAAACCCCAAACCCTAAACCCTAAAACCTAAGCCCTAAGCCCTAAAATCTAAATCCTAAACACCCCTCTTAATAAGGACCCCCTAACCAAAGCAAGCGCAGCCAGTGCCCTTCGTCCTTGGTGGACATGAGCATGGGCAGGTTGACCCTGCGATTGCTCGACCCTCAGCCCTGAAATGGGCCTAAACCCTGAACCCTAAACCCTAAACCCTAAACCCTGAAGAATCAGCCAGAGACACACGGAGACACACAGGTACACCCTGTGACTGGAACTTGAAGGGTGCCCCCTGAACGCTGGAAGCCCCACGCCGTGGCCAGACTGTTTGGGAACTGCTCTGAATGACCTTTGGGTTTAGGGTTTAGGGTTTGGGGTTTAGGGTTTAGGGTGACTCCAAAAAGGAGACTATAAGGCCCATGGCGTCCTACAGGAAGCCGCAAGCACCCCCAAAAGCCCTGCCTAAAACCCTCTAAGTGGGATGATCCCCCCTTATACTAACAGTCCATAAAGAGAGTATATGAGGGGGGTACGATAATCCCTGTTGTTAAGGACTGATACCCAACCCTCTAAGCTCAACACCTGTACGTGGTCCACTGCTGCCAAACACAGAAACCCCAACAACACGTTGAGAAAACCTAAACCTCTAAACCCGAGGCTCCGTTGCGTGATTTCTTCAGGCTTCGGGTTTAGGGTTGTTTTTGGGACTGGGGGGGGCTTGGGGCTTGGGGCTTGGGGCTCAGGGGCACCAAACCCTATGCCCTAAACCCGGCACCCCCTTCCCAAGGGGTCTTTAAGTTTGTGGGGCCTTGGGCGGAGCTTTGATTTAGGGTTAGGGTCAGGGGGACCCTTGGGGATATAGACCCTCTCAATAAGGTCCCTACCCGAAACCCTAAACCCTCAACCCTAAACAGCACCAGGAGAGGGCACCTTGGAAGGGGCTCCCTAAACCCAGAACCCAAAACCCTAAACCCTAAACCCCAAAACCCTAAACCCTAATCCCACCTAGGATTGATGGTAAGCTGGCCTTGTCTCCGTTGCAACACGCTTCTTCTGCCCCTGCAGGGAGGTGTCAGGGTTTCGTAGGGTTCAGGGTTCAGGGTTCAGGGTTCAGGGTTCAGGGTTTAGGGTTTAGGGTTTCGGGTTTAGGTTTTAGTACCACATTCTTGGGCCCAAAAGTCCGAGGAGCTCCGGATCGCAGTTCTGGGGTAACCCTGAACCCTCAACCCTAAACCCTAAACCCTAAAGCCTACCCTAGAAAGTTCATGGAAACCGCAGGCCCTACCAGACCCGTGAACCTTCTCAAGTAGATGCTAAGACATTGGGGGGCGGGGGGGGGGGGGTTAGGTACACGTACACGTTGCCTGTCACGAGCACAAATTCCTGGGTCTTAGCAATGAAGTATCATATGACTTGCTACTTATCAATGTCTACAACGCTCTCCGACAAAACCCTGGAGAACTTTCTGAAGTTCTTGACTCGCTTACCAAGGAGCCTCCACATCATTTCTTGAGTTTATACAGCTCGCCCCGGACCCGTCTCCCACACCCTAAAGTCGGAGGGTCACCATTCCGAGAAGCAGCCAAGCCCCATAGGCCTCCAACCCTGGCCTGAGGGCTCCGCAGGTACTTATGTAAAACATACCGACTTTGGGGTTAAGTGGAGCTGTAGCACTGCATCTTGTGCTGACTTGGAGACTGCTGTTGCAGGGCGGTTTTGCGTGGTCTTGTTTGGTTGGTTTGGTGGACTCTTCCCTTTCTCGACATCATCCAACATTGTGCACGTCTCACCGCCGACATCCCACTGGGACGCTGACCAGGAACGGCAAAGGGGCGGTGGACCCGGGCCACATGAGACCGAATCGGAATACAAACGGCGGAGACATGAAGAAGAGTACTCTAAACCCTGACCCTATAAACCCTGGACCCTGAAAGAAGAGGACAGGCGACCGTGTTCAAAGCGAGAGGCTACCCCAAACCAAAGCTCCGTGACCGAGAGCTCGGTTTAGGGTTTGGGCTTTGGGGTCCTAAACCCTAACCCCCCACCCCTCCCTCCCACCCCTCCAAAAACCCAACACACTCCTCCCGTGCCTTCTCGGCACCGTTTTTCCTGCATTGGATATGGACCCTAATTCCTACTCGAAGGTCCAGGGGTGGGGCTGCGGGTTTTGGAACCTATGCCCTAAACCCAGAGACCTGAAACCCTAAAGGTCCGTGTGTAGGGAAGAGCATCTACAGGGTTCTACTTGAAGGTGCATGGGCGGTAATCTATGTAGGGTTCTAGCCAACTCCCTACTTACTGCGCATGAACCTCCAAGTCCGCTACCTTACCTAGTGGTTGTAGGTAGGGCAACTGGACAGCTCTGCTCTTGAAGCCCGAAGAAAGGCCTAGGGTTTAGGGTTTAAGGCTTGGGGTAAAAGCCAAACTAGGGGGGGGGGGGGGGGGGGGGGGGGAAGGGGAATCCCTAAACCCTAAACCCTAAATCCTAAATGGTGTCGGAGGAGCTTGGTGTTCAAGGGCCAGTGAAGAACTTGTTGGCAGCTTGGCGGGTGTGTGTCTAAGGCGGCTATGCAAAAAAATGGCAGCCCTCCTTGGAAGGGGGTCTCTCATTCCGATGTATGATATACTAATACAGAAATTAATGTACAAATGTATTTGTATAGTCAAATAACAATATAAGAAGGCGTTGAGAAACCACAACAATACGGTAACAGAACGACATAATGATAGTATCATCTAGTATTACAAGAAGCTAGTGATCAACACAATACAACTACATTTCAAGTATGAACCATCTTGAAGCTTTTGGGTTTGAGGTGCCCAAGTTTTGGGAACAGCACCCTTGAACACTAAACCCTAAACCCTTAACCCGAAACCCTAAACCCGAAACCCTAAACCCTTAACCCTAAACCCGAAAAACCCTAAACCCTAAACCCTTAACCCGAAACCCTAAACCCAAAATTGTCTTTGGTGTCCCTTGTGGGATCCTTGCCTTGGTACCCCAGTAAGCATATTATCATCAGGGTACCCCTTTTTGGGGTTTAGGGTTTAGGGTTTAGGGTTTAGGGTTTAGGGTTTAGGGATTCGGATTTGAGGTTTCGGGTTTAGGGCTACCTGCATGTATCAGGGAACCTTGAACAAACAAACAGGTAAGGGTACCACTGGGCTACCAAGTCGCAATAGAGGCTCTGCCGCATGTCGGCTGACTCAGTACCGATTTGAAAGTTCCATGGGCCCGGATCCCGTATGGAACCCCGCATCGCCCCTAGAAAGTTCTTTGTTAGGCGAAATCCTAAGCCCTAAGCCATTCAGATCACAGGGCTTGAAGATAAACATACACTGCGCCGGGCCAATAGTTCGACCCACCGACATCTAGAAGTCCTTACACCTTTGCCCCAACCTCTTCCCCATAGACTCCTGACACAAGTGAGCGTGGGGGCCTCCTCCGGAACTTCAAAAGTACTATATATTTACGACGGGGTATTAGCTAGCGGGCGTCGTGAAAACGCCACTTCTCGGCACTCCGCTACTCCGCGCGAGTCTTCTCTTTCTGCATGCCATCCAACATATCCCACATGTGCCGCGGGTCAAAACTTTCGGCCCGGGGGTGTACACATATATATATATGTATATGATCAGGCTTGGGTTCGTCGAACTGATGGAACCTCGTTTTTGTTGGGGGGCGGGTCTCGATCATCGTAGTGTTCCTTCTTGATCGAAAGCACCTTACTTGGAGGTTCATGGGCAGCTCGAAGCAGGGTTAGAAGTACCCCAAACCCTAAACCCTAAACCCTAGACCCTAAACTCTGAACCCTATACTTACAAACTGGCTGTAGCCTTTTTAAGCCCCTTCCCAGGTTGCCCAGTAACCTGGGAATCAACTGGGATTCAAGAGGGTGCCTCTGTTTGATAAGGGAACCTAAACCCCCCCCCCAAAAAAAAAAAAAAATAAGGGCACTACTGGGCATCCTAGCTTCTAAAACAGAAAACAAGGCACGCCATTCTACTCCCAAGTTCGTCTGGCATCCAATGCAACTGTTTGGCCCCATCTGCTTCCCTTTAGGGTTTAGGGTCGGAGCCAGATTTACACTGACTCACCAACGACAGCAATATAAGCCCTGCCTCACATGCCCAGGACCCCTGAACGCTGGGAGAGGTCCTCGGTGACATGCTGCCGCTGGTTGCTGGCCGTCCGCCGCCGGATATACTCCTGATATGGCCCTAAACCCTAACCCCTAACCCCTAACCCCTAACCCCTAACCCTAAACCCTAAGCCCTGAACCCTAAACCCTAAACCCCAGCCCTAAACTCTGAACCCTGAACCCCAAACCCCAAACCCTTCAGCCTAGGGTTTAGGGTTGAGGGTTTGAGGAGGAGGGCCCCTTGCATACCCTATAAGCCCCAAGGGCCCAGACTTCAGAACCCTTTCACGAAGGTAGGGGACCATATCATGGGGACCAAGTGAGTAACCTTCGATCTCCGTATTAAGAGGACCGAAGTAACCTCAGATCTCCTGCACTCCTCGGAGCCTATACTCAAGGGTGGGGGGGGGCTTTCTTCAGGGGGAGGGGGGGGGGGGGTTGAGGGCTACAGGATTTTAGGGTTCAGGACTTAGGGATACTGAAGGGTGGGGCTTGCTATTCAGGGTGTTGGAGGGTTTAGGGTTTATAGGGGGGGGGGGGGGGGGGGGGGAGGGGTTTAGGGTTTGTGGCTTAGGGCATGGGACTTGTTTTGTGTTGGAGGGTGTTGGGGTTCCATCTCTCTCATAAAAATAAATAAATAAATAAATATATATATATATATATATATATATATCTGTATGTATGAATAAATAAAAACACAAATTTAAAATGTAAATATAAACATGAATGTGAATATAAATATAAAGAAAATCTATATAAATATACATAACTAACTAAATAAATAAATATATATATATATATATATGAATATAAACATTTTTTCTGCTTGTTTTTTTTTTTTTTTTTGGGGGGGGGGGGGGGGGGGGTCGCGGGGTAAGATTACTTGAAGCCGCAAGGCAAATGTACCTTAAGGTACAAATGGGCGTACTTAGGAGCAGTAGGGTTCGGTGTAAGGGACATCGGTCTTCATGCTGCTTGCGGGATCTGGGCGTGTAAGTGTAAGGATTGTTTTACTTCGGGGTTTTGAAGTGCCCCCCCCCCCCCCCCCCCCCCCCTACACCCTAAACAACCTAAACCCCAACACCTGTATAAACCGTTAACAACCTCGAGGGTTTGGGACTTTCGACTTAACCTAGATCCTAACCTTAAAGAGTTCCCATTATAAACTATCCAATACTACTATTTGGCTCAAGAACCTCAAAAAAGAAAGATAACACGCCTCATGTTACCCTTATAAGGAAGACCCTAAACCCTAAACCCTAATCCCTAAACCCTGTGCTCTTTGTGGGTTCTTAAGCCTATAGTAAAATCGCGGTAGAGGCTGCCAGGCTTCTCTGCAAACCCCCCCCCCCCCTCCCCCAACCTCAAAAAACCTTTCAGGGTTCAGGGTTTAGGGTTTTGCGAAAAACGACATAAACCACTTTCAAACATTAGACGCCAACCCTCTACTTAACAAACAACATCTTCAACAACAATATTGGACACTCTCACCCGAAGAAGCCCTCAATCAAAACAAACTTTAACACAACCAACCCCTAAGCACCAACCCTTAGACCCAAACCCTAAACCCTACACCCTACACCCAAAGCCCTCAAAGCCCTCAAGACCGCATGTACGCCTCCCAAACTCTAAACCCCAAACCCTAAACCCGAAACGCCAAGCCTTCAAGACCCCACGTACCCCTCCCAAACCCTAAACCCTAAACCCTAAACCAGCGGCCTCTCAAACTCGGTTGGCATCCTGCGCGGAGAGATCGCGGGGAAAATGCCAGATGAACAAAAGAATCTTAGTCTGCATGGGTGTTAGTTTAGGGGTTGGGGTTTAGGGTTAGGGGTTAGGGTTTAGGGTTTAGGGTTTACGGTTTAGGGTTTGGGGTTGACGGTTGAGGGAGTAGGGCTTAGGGTGTTGTGCCTAAGGTTTTGGGCTGTGGGTTTAGGACGGGGTGCTTTCAGTCTTTGGGGGTTGTAGGGCTTACAAGGTTTGTCAGGGAGCGTAGGGTTCAGGGTTTGGAGGGTTGTAAGGTTTCTAGGGTTTTATGGGAATTTATCTTCATATTTAGGGTGCTTAGGGGTTTTACGGGTTTTCTGGAGGTTGCTATCAAGAGTTTCTGTAGGGTCTACAAGGTACCCTAAACCCCAAACCCTAAACCCTAAACTGCTCTAGCCAGGCACAGTGTAGACCCCGCTGGCACAAGCCCAGACCCATGGGAGGATCCAAAAAGTTGTTCCGGCTTCCTCAAAACGAGCAGCAGTAGTATAGGGTACTATTTTAGGGTTCTACTTTTTGGATCCTCGCAGGGGTCTGCGAGCGACCGCAGATGATGTGCTCGTCTGACCCTAAATCCTAAAGACTCAACCATTTGCCCCGAACCTTTAAATGGGGTTTCCGGGGTACCTTATTGGGGTTCTTACTAGGGAATCCGAGTATGTGGGGGAAATCTATATTGGGGTCCCCCATTTTCGTAAACCCCAAACTCCAATCCGCAACACCTACAGTAAACTCCAGAAAGTTGGAACATCCTTATCCCCATACCCCAAAAGCTATGCTGGAGGGAATCCTCGCTCGAAACCATGTTCCAACTTTTTGGAGTTTGCTTTAAGCCCTAATCCCTGAGCACTTCAATCCCATAAACTTGCCTTAGGCAATGGTGGGGAGGGGGGGCGGGCTTGCCCTTCGGGGCGTAGCCCTAAACTTCAGTTGAAGGCTCATAGGCAGTTATAAGTAGGGGGTAAGGTTTAGGGTTTAAAAGGTGATTATGGTGTACTTATAGCATACTTAGTAGACCCAGGAGTAACCTAGGAACATAAAGGGCACCCTTTTGGTTTTAATATCATAAGAGCCCATATACATTCTGCTTGAACGACCGTGCCACAGCCATATTGCGTTCTGCTTGGAGCATCTTGATACTTCAACCCGAACAAAGGGAAATAAGGGCCGACTCCAGGTTCTAGCTTCTATCCCTACTTCTAACCACCTGTGAACCTTTAACCCCTAAACCCTAAACCCTATAAACCCTGAACCTTCAAGCAAACCCGGCTGTCCTCGCATCCTCACTTTCCATGGATGGTTGCGGCCTGGCTTGCCGGGAGAAGACTGGGGCATTGCGTTTTTCGGGCCCAGAACAACCCTGAGCCCTAAACCCTAAACCCTAAACCCTAAACCCTAAACCCTAAACCCCAACTCCCAAGCCCGGGTCTAGGGCCTGGATTCACGGGCTTCGGGCTCGCCCGAATCTAAGAACAATGGAGATTTGGCCTGTCTTCAGGGTAGAGGACCCATCCCACAAACACATTGAGCCCACGCTCGGATGTCTTTTCGTGGGTTAGGTTTAGGGCTGAAGGTTTAAAGATTAACAACCTAGGGCTTTTCAGGTTTAAGGTGCAAGGTTTAGGGTTTAGGGTTAAGGGCACGAAGCACCTGGCGTCCACAATGTTTCTGATGAGACTCTTGACATGGGAGCCAGAGTGGGCCACCGTGACATGGGGATTCTCGTCAATGAGATCCACAATGGAGGTCGCTGGGTTTGAGGCCCCTGACTCAAGTACCACGCCTACTTCATCCACTATGCCCCCCTTAGAACCTTAAAAAAGAAAAACTGTTTTTCATATTGCCTTGGGTGCCTCGGTAAAAAAAAATGCCTAAGGGGGCTATTAGGGAAGCTGATCCTTGAAGCGGCACAGAAACAGCGCTTGAGAACAGTGTGGTGCTCGCTCGAGGTGAACCGGCAAACAATTTGCCGTGGTGAAGCCCTGCACCCCAAACAGAGGGGTCCGAAGAAGTACTGTATTATTCCATTATGGACCCTTTTTACCCCCCCCCCCCCCAAACAAAAAAACTACTCTACTTGCAAAGGCCCCTAAATTAGCTTGAGCGTATCGCGCAGATGCAATTTCGGCAAAAGGATACAGTAAACCCCAGAAAGTTGGAACATGGTTTAAGGATGACTAGAGTTGGCTTTTCCTTTGGTATACTTTTGGGGGTGTGTGGCAAAGGATGTTCCAACTTTTTGGAGTTTACTGTAGATCACCGGAGTGATTCGACAGGCCGCCAGAGTCGCACCACTGTCCCAAAAGCAGCTCGCGCTGCTCTTTGCAGCGCATGGTTTTCGGGATTTAGGGTTTAGGGTTTTGGGAATAGGGTTTAGGGTTTTGGGAATAGGGTTTAGGGTTTAGGGTTCCGGGTCGTGTTAAGTAGATGTTTCGGAGGGGAGCTGATCTCCTCAGGGCTTAGGGCAAAAAAACAAAAAGGTTTGAAGCCAGCAACTTTACAGGGACAGGGTCTCCTTTTCCGAGCCAGCCACAACGCATGCACAATGTGCGCCGGCAACCCATGGGGCTTGCAACCTGAGTTCTGCAACCTAGATATCATAACGACACCTAAAGCATAATTCTCAACCCCTAGACTCTGAAATCCGTAACTCTAAACCCTGGACCCAATAAGCACCTAACCCGCAGAAACAACCCTAACACGGAATGTCCCTGAAGACCTGTTCCCATTTTCCTGGAACAAACCCAATCCGGCTTCTCCAAAGAGCACGGGTTTGGGGTTAGGGGTTTAAGACATTCGTCCTAGCCGCCCCAACATCCGGCGCGGTGTTCGCACCCCTCCAGTCCCAAAACCACAAACCCCCTAAAAGGGCCCCCAAAAAACTAAACCGTGAAACCCCCTCAATCCTAAACCCTAAGCCCTGAAAACCCTAGCAACCTGCCTGGTGGTCCGAGGAGTCGTGCCGGGGCGCTCTGGCATAGTCCTCTCGAGAAAACCGGTACGGATTGGCTTTTGCTTTTTCACCTCGAAATCCTTACGAGCTCTTACACCCACAAGCCCTTGATAAACCTTAAAGATAAGGGTTTAGGGTTTAGGGTCTTAGTCACCTAAACCCGAAACCCTACGCTACGAAACCCTACACTACCCCCTGAACCGCATCTGGCTTTCAAGAGGGACCTCATATCCCCCTATAGATACCCTTGAAGGGAGTATACAAGGTACCTAAACCCTAAACCGGCGGGCTAAACCCTAACTCCGTCAGTCCCTGCTAAGAACCAGCAGGTTCGGGCGGAGTTTAGGCTCAAGCTCCCTCAACCCAGAGCCCCAGTGCCAACATCTAGTGTGTCAGTAGAGGCATACTTGGAGGGGTCAATACCCTGCTCCTGACCCTACTAGCCCGAAACCCTAAACCACTTATCAGTACGCAGTTTCGGGTTTGGGAGTTCAGGGGTCCACCTCTAGAGTTTAGGGTTTAGGGTTTAGGTTTTAGGGTTTAGGGTTTAGGGCTACTCCCTTTACCTAGTGCCTGTGTACACCAGAGAAAGGCAAGTAGGTACCCACCCAAAACCACCCGGACCACCTGAGCTGCGGTAGATTTGTGAGGGTTTAGGGTTTTGGGTTTAGGGTCCCTAGTTACTGCCCTCCTACCCCCCCCCCCCCCCCACTGCCATGTCGGGTTTAGGGTTTCAGGGTTTAAGGGGTTCTTAATGCAGAGGTTAGGGCCCACAGAACATAAACAAGCTACACCGAATCCACCCCAACGAGAAGGAACTGCAGTTGTGGCCCCTAGACCTGCAAACCCTCAAGACTCAAAACTCCAAACGCTAACAAAAACATGCAAAAGCCCAAACCCGTCAACCCTGTTCAAACCCTCCAACCCTAAACCCCAAACCCGAAACCCTAAACCCTATAAACCCTCCAACCCTGAAACCCTTAAACCCCCGCCTGGCCCGTGACTTTGCGCGGGCATTCTTCGGGCTGCTTTCCGAGGGGGGCCTGGTCGGGGAACACCAGGGGTTGAGGGTTTGAGGGTTTAGGGTTTAGGGAGCTGAGGGTTTAGGGTTTAGGGTTTAGGGTTTAGGGTTTAGGGTTTAGGGTTTAGGTTTAGGGTTTAGGGTTCAGGGTTTAGGCTTTAGGGCCTAGGGTTTCGGGTCAGGGTTAGGGTTTCTAGGGTTCAGGGTTTATACGGTTTACAGGGTGTAGGGTTTATAGGGTTTTTATAGGGTTTTTATAGGGTTCATGCGGTTTATAGGGTTTAGCTATCGGGTTTTCAGCATTTGATGGGCTTACAGGGTTTAGGGTTTATATCACGGTTCCTTCTGGGTTTCGGGCTTGGGCTAGTTTAGGGTGTGGGGTGTAGGGTTGAGGGGTGTTAGTCTGTTTACTTGGCAGCCCAGTAACCACCCTTTTTGGGGTTGGATACTTTCACAAAAGGGGCACAAGGGTACCACGGGGCTACCAAGTTTCGGGTTTAGGATACAGGGTTTAGGGTGCGGGGTGTAGGGTTTAGGGAAATTTTGAGGGTTAGTTGAGGGTTTCTTGTGCAACCCGGTATATTCCTACTAAACTAACGGGCACGGGGGTCTCTGGGCTTGTTGGTGGGGATGGGCTCCGGTGCTCTGTAACTGCGAAAGATCCAAACCAAAACCCGCAGTCGGTCAAGGCACCCCCAACCCCCCAGGCAAAAAAGAAACTGAAAAACAACAACTATTGCCTGGCATTTCGCTTCGGGCAACGCTTCGGCAACATAAATCCAGACCTGTTTCCGGCCTGTCACCAGCATGATTAAGCATGAGTATACGTGGCTGCCTAGCAGGGTAAACGCGCGCGCCCACGTGGCGTCAGCTATGGGATGGTTAGTGCAGTTCTCCGCACTTTCTTTTTGACCTGCTCCTTTCAATATCACCAGAGTGCTACCCAAGATCCAGAAAAGAGCCCAAGTGGCACACTTCATACCACCTAGCGGGTAGCTTCAAGGAGATCCCTTGGCTAAAATCTATCCTCAAGGGTAAACCGGCACTCTCACCTGTTAGGAAGTCGATATGTCAGGGTTTAAGCTCTACGGGTTGAGTGTCGGGTTTTGGCTTGAGGGTCTAGGGCGCCTAAGCTGCTAGGCATCGAAACCCCTCTAAACCCTAAACCCTAAACCCCAAACCCTAAACCCCAAACCCCAAACCCTAAACCCTAAACCCTAAACCCTAAACCCTAAACCCTGTTCAGCTGCCGCCACAGGAAGCCTTGGCGTGCTGGTTGTTGTCCAAATCTGGACATCGGTGTCCGAACTCCTGGGGGGGGGGGGGGGGGGGGCGGCTTTACATGGGTTTGGGGTTGCGTGGGTTTAGGGTTTAGGGTTTAGGGGTTTAGGGTTGTGTGAGTTTAGGGTTTAGGGTTTAGGGTTTGGGTTTAGGATAAGCCCTATAAAGCCTGAATCCTGTCGATGGGGACATCTTTCAGGATTTTCAGATGATTGCAGGCATCGACTAGAGGGGGGGGGGGAGGGGGGGAGCAGGGTTTGTTCTTGCTGGGACGCCTCGTGCCCCTGTTTCCCCTGTTGGGGGGTTAGGCTCCCTTCTAAACTCCATCTCCAACGCGCGTTCCCTCAAACCCCATGCCATGGCCCTAAATCCTATTAACCTTATATGCCCTAACACCCTAAAACCTAAACCCTAAACCCTAAACCCTAAACCCTAAACCCTAAACCCTAAACCCTAAACCCTAAACCCTAGCCTCAGTGTTTCGAGAGTAGGGCTTCGGGTGCACAGCTGCGGGTTACAATTTAGTGCTTGCTTGGAGGTTCACGGAGTTTTTAGCGGGGTTTTAAGTAGGGTTGCTCTCATTCTTCGTGGTTATAACCTTACCTGGGGTACTTTTAACCCTGCTTCAACCCGTGCCTGGGACGAGCTCCCCGAACGCCAAACTATAAACCCCCCGCCCCGGGGTTTATCCGGGTTTGGCAGGACTGAAGTCAGGGCTTGTGCCCCTCAAGGCTGTACTTTGTTTCTAAAGATGCGTCTTGTACAAAGGGCCGTACTAGGAGTATGTTAACGTGAACCTTTTGGGGGCACTTTGCAGGAACCCAAAAAGCATAAAACAATAAATCCCTATATTACCCTTGTAAGGAAGAATATTATATTATATATATATATATATTTATTGATTTATTTATGTATTTACATATATTTTTTTGGGGGGGTCTTTGAAGCAATTAGTAGTTTAGGGGTACTTTGCAGGAACCCAGTCCAGAAAGACGGGGAATCAGGGAACTACGGGGCGTCCTAGAGGGTTGCAGGATGAACTCAATGTGGCCTTGGGTTCTGGGATGCCTGTTTTCGTTTAGGGTTTAGGGTTTAGGGTTTAGGGCTTAGGGCTTAGGGTTTAGGGCTTAGGGTTTAGGGTTCTCTGGTCCAACTAGACCTCGACAGCTGAACTTGCAGTTGCTCTTTGAGTCAGGGCAGAAAACAATGAGGAAACCCTATGGATACTGCTTCATTCAACACAGCTGTTAAACAACACACAGCTAAAAACAAAGGCTTTAGAACCCTTCTCTATATACATACATACATGCATGCATGCATGCATACATAAATCATATATATATATATGTATATATATATATATACATAGTACACATACGCATAATAAAGACAAACACAAATGAATACATATACATGTATATAGTATTATATACATAGTAGAATATGTATATATATATATACACATACATACACACGTACATACATAATCGTATACAGACATGTACATAGATGCGACCCTGGGCGCTGCTCATTGTTGTCTTGCGTCGGCAGGCGTGCGCTGCGTCGCATTGCGACGGCGCCTTGGAACGTCCCAGGGGCTTGGGAACTCCGCGCTCTAAAGCCCTAGGCCCTAAACCCTAAACCGCCCAAAGCTGTTTAGGGTTTAGGGTTTAGGGTTTGGGGTTTAGGAACTCCAAAAACGCCCAGAACACTAAACTCTGCAACTCTAAAGCCCCAGAAACCCTAACCTCCAAAAACCCTCAACCCCAAACCGTATAAGACCTTCCTCCCCAAACCCCCGTAAACCCTAAACCCTAAACCCTAAACACCTAAAGCCTCCTGGCTGTGGAGGCCGGCCCTTCAGCACGGCCACTGGCCAGACGAGACTTGGTAGCAGAGGAACACATACTTGGAGGTAGTTCCTAACCCATTATAGGGTTTAGGGTTTAAGGTTTAGGATAACCGTACTTATAACCACATTCGGGGATTGAAGGGGCTTCTAAATGGGTTATAGTTACAATTATAATTGGTGAATATGTACCATGAACCTCCAAGTATCATTTGGGACTTATACTAACAGTCCTGAATAGGGATTATAATGAAAAAATACTAGAATCCCTATTCAGGAGTGTTAGTATAAGGGGGAACATCCTGGGCTACCAAGCCTAAGAAGGTCTGGTAGGGTCTGGGCACCGACTTCTGGACCCCCCGGTGGTCCGAGCCACGCGTTTAGGGTTTAGGGTTTAGGGTTGTGGGTTTCGGGTTTAGGGTCCAGGGTTAAATATGATTCACTTAATCCCAGAAAGGGAGTATAACATATCCCCAGGGCCTACCTGGTACATAGACTTCAAGAGTAGCAGGCATCATGTATGCAACGGGAATCGATGGATTTAGGACAGATCCTGGGGTCCTAATACCCCAAACCCTAAACCCCAAACCCCAAACCCCAAACCCTAAACCCTAAACCCTAAACCCCAAACCCTAAACCCCAAAACCACATTCCAGAGGCCAGCGTCTCCGGGGCGACTCATCTTCCGACTGGAGAATGGACGAGGTCGCACACATGCGGGCAGCACCTCGAGGTTTAGGGTTTAGGGTTTAGGGTTTAGGGTTTAGGGCTTAGGGCCTCAAGGCTTCAGGGTTTAGGTCTGCATGGTATCTTTCTGCGTCCGCGCTCCGCGTTCTCGCCCCCACTCCCACGACATCCCCCGACCGAAACCCTAAACGCACCACGAACCACAGGAAACTAAACCCCTCAGCCCAACCTTAAACCCCAAACTCTCTCTCTCTCTCTCTGTCTACATATATATATATATATATACATAGATATCTATATATATATATGTATATATATATATATATTGTAAACAAATCTATATATATATATATATATATAGAATATGTAAGTTCTCAGGGCCCTGTCGACGCATCCTTCGAAACCTACACCCTGCACCCTAAGCCCTAAACCCTGAACCCTAAACCCTGAACCCTAAACCCTAAACCCTAAACCCTAAACCCCACAAACTCTCCAAGCTCACCCTGCACTTCCTGAACCCGAAACCCGGCAGCCGTGCCTGTCTGCCCGGGGCGGCCATCCTGACAGAACACACAAGACCCTAAACCCAAAACCCAAAACCCAAAACCCTAAACCCTAAACCCTAAACCCTAACCCAAAGAAATCAGGTTGGACCTAGTCTTGGCAGCTGAGGGTCTAGGGTTTAGGGTTGCAGGGCTTGTTGGGAACGTTTTTTTATCCCCCAAACAAAAATCTCTAAGCCAGCAAACTTGCAAAACAGCCGGTCAAGGCCACACTCGAAACACGCAGCCCCGACTCCCAAACCCGGAAAGCCCCCACGCCTAAAAACCCTGAACCAAAGTGTTGAGGGTTTAGGGTTTAGGGTTCAGGGTTTAGGGTTTGGGGTGATATCTGAAACGCGCAAACGCTACCTTGAACCCCGACACCAGTAAACCTTCAACCCCTGCTTGAAGGTTCATGGGTAACTACAAGTACGTACCCTGAACAAGGCTATCAACCACTTGTACTTATACTTGCCCTGCTTGTAACCGCACTTCTAACGACAAATGAACCTGCACGTGCACCCTGCACAAAAGTCTGACTTCGGGTTTAGACTTCAGAACCCTTTGAGAAGTAAGGGACCGTATGACCATATGAAGGGACCGTGTAAATATGCTTAGACTTAGCGATTAGTGGCTAGATCCAAGAGTAACCTAGGAATAACAAGGGTACCCTTTTTGCTTTCAGGGCGCTGAAATGGGAGGCTAAGCCCGAACAAAAGGAAATAAGCACCTACTCTGGGTCCGAAGTGGGCTTGCTAGGCGCTTTCGGGCCTCGCGAGGAATTAGCAAGGCAAATTCCCGCCAAGGGAATGCGGGTTGTGAGCGTTTGTCGGCCTAGGGCCCCTCCACCCCTAGGGTTTAGGGTTTATGGTTCAGGGTTCAGGGTCCCCCCCCCCCCCCCCCCCCCCCCCCCCCTCCCCCCCCCCCCCGGCCTCGCTTTGCATTAGGGAGCTGACGAGGAAACCATCATTCCCCTTGCCTTCGCACAGTGGCATTGGAGGTTCTCATGGGTTCAGAAAGCTCTAATTAAATCAGGGCATCAGGAACTAGGAAAAATTCGGGAGTTTGGGGAGTTTGGGGGCATGGGATACAACGGGACACTGTTGGCAACCTTTGGCAAGCCTTCAAGGCGCTAGAGATACTTGCCACACTACTTGGTGCACTTCGGGTTCGAATCACTTGGGTCATTTGGGACGCTCTGGCAAGCAAGTTGGCAAACGATTGGACTTTGGGGGTCACTTGGCCAAGGATGCTCCCCCTTTCAGGTTGACAATCTGGGCCGAAGGGCCCTTTTCATGATTCCTTGGCCCCCCTAAACCCTAAACCCTAGGCCGTAATCACTACACCCTAAGCCAACAACACCCCCAAAACCCTGAACCCTGAGCTCCAAACTCTCCCCCAAAACCCTGACAGCTGCTAGTGAGTTCCTGGGTCGTGCGGTAAGTAGGGCTCGAAATAAGTCAACTCTGGCTACAAGCCCTGCTTGTAGTGACCCTACATGTAATTGCCCTAAACCCTGAACCCTAAACCCTAAACCCTAAACCCTAAACCCTAAACCCTATCTGTAAGGTGTTCATAAACTCTCTGCCGCCAACCAAAGGTGCCTTGCTTCCCTCGAGGTGTTGCCTGCGCACAAGGGAGGTTAAAGGTAGAGTTTAGGGTTTAGGGTTTAGGGTTTAGGGTTTAGGGTTTAGGGTTTAGGGCTTAGGGCTTAGAGTTGAGGGTTGAGGGTTGAGGGTTGAGGGTTGAGAGTACTTACAAGTCGGGTTGTAAGTACCCTTAATAAGGTCATAGCTAGAGTTCTCCTACGTAGAATCTTCTGACTACCCATGAACCTCCAAGTAGTGTTAAGGTTTGGGGCGTTTAACAACCCGACTTGTAATTTTCCCCTAAACCCTATAAACCCCAAGGGGTTTAAAGCGCTTGTTGGGGCTTAGGGCACTGTAGGGCTTCGTGTTTAAGGGCTTAGGGCGTTCTACGACTTATGGGTGAGCATTGGGCTTCATTGGCTGAGGATAAGGGCCCTAGCTTCCAGAGACATGGGATGTTCAGCCCTCCCTCAACCCCTCCCAACCCCCTCTCCGCACCCTCTCCCACAGTCAACACGACTGCTACCTCCCTTCTTCCCTCCTTCCCTTCCTGTCTCTGTCTCTGTCTCTGTCTCTGTCTCTGTCTCTGTCTCTGTCTCTGTCTCTGTCTCTGTCTCTGTCTCTGTCTCTGTCTCTGTCTCTGTCTCTGTCTCTGTCTCTGTCTCTGTCTCTGTCTCTGTCTCTGTCTCTGTCTCTGTCTCTGTCTCTGTCTCTGTCTCTGTTTGGTTTTCGGGAAGTTTACTTGGAGGTTCATGGTGCTTATTAACCAATTAGGATTGTACTTAGAACTGTACTTAGGGCACTCAAGGGGCGTATAAGTGGGCTATAATATAAGTACAGTCATAACTGGCTAATAAGTGCCATGAACCTCTTTGAGGCGGCCTCCTAGTGCAACCTGGCGCGCCCGATGAGCAGCCCTGCACACGGTAGACGGCAAATGGAGTCAAAGCCCCCTAAACCCTAAACCCTAAACCCTAATACCCTAACCCTAAACCCTAAACCCTAAACCCTAAACCCTGAACCCAAAACCCAAAACCCAAAACCCTAACCTGAACCCTAAAACCTAAACCCTCAAACCCTGCAGAGTCCAGACGTCTGCCTGGGAACGACCTCCGGCACTGCGGTTGCTGCGGGTGCTGCTGAGGACCTCGCTGTTGAGAATTCCAGTGTCGCCGACATTGTCCTTCGACAGTAGGGTTTAGGATTCAGGGTTAGGGGTTAGGGGTTAGGGTTTAGGGTTTACGGTTTAGCGTTTAGGTTTAGGGGTTTAGGTTTCCTACATCACTAAACCCTCAACCGCAAATCCCTAAAGCCTACCCTCATCCGCAAAACCAAGAAAATATGTACCCTACATAAGTATATATATATATGTCAGAATATACAGGGGGGATGCAAGGTACCTAAGCCACTCATTCCCTACTGAGAACGTAGAGGTTCTTGGGTATCTAAACATAAGGTTCGCCCTTATGAGAACTAGAGGGTACTTGTAAGCAGGGCAACTGTGATTCAAGCTCCCTAATTAAGCCCACCCTATAACCCTACTTATGAACACACCCAGACGCTTTCCATTATTGCTTCAGTCACAGGTTAAACCCTATTCCGGTCAGATTGGAGTTCTTGCTTATCTTGGTACCCCGGTAACCATATTGTAATGAAAGTACCCTTTTTGGGGGGTTTAGGGCTTACATTGCAGTATAAGGGAACATTGAACTGCAAAAAACCGTAAAGGGTCCCCGTGGGCTACCAAGTTATTTGGCAGTTCAGGCTTGAGAGTTTAGGCTTTCTTCGGGACAGCTTGCTGAGAGATAATGATAGTTACTACTCTTGCCTTAAGGCCTCCACAAACAATTGAAGACAATATCCCCATATCGCCCTTACAAGGAAGATGACTTGTAATTGTTCGGGGGCTATACGTCTTAAGCAAACATTCAAACTTTAGGGTTCTTAAGGGAGGGGGGGGTTCATGGGGCGGGGGGGGGGGGGGTAGGTACCAAGGGATCTTTAAGGAAGCTTAGGGAGCCTTAGGGAGTAGTGGAGAGTATTAAGGAACCTTCGCTTTCCTAACCCCCCCTTGAACACCCCTCCCTTAAGAACTCTATATGCAAATAGTAGCAAAGGCGATCTTGGGACCCAAAAAGGAGCCCATGTCCCTTCTACCTCCTTTACCGGGTTCTGATGTAAAGGCCCATATAAATTTTTGTATAGGGTATATAAGGGGTACCCTTCTAAAAGTAACTACCCTAAGAGCAGCCCAAAGCTCAGACAGCCTATCCCTCCCTCAACAACCTCGCGGCGGCCCAAACAGCAGAAGATCCTCGTAAACCCCTAAACCCCTAAACCCCTAAGTCCCTAAACCCCTCAACCCCTCAACCCCTAAACCCCTAAACCCCCCCCTAAACCCCCCTCAACCCTAAACCACTGCTGTAAACCATAAACCCCCTCAACCGGCCCCCAGTCACACCGCCTCGCTTTGCATCAGGGAGCCGAAGAGTGCATCGTTCCCTCTGCCTTCCCCGCAAAGGTCTTGGAGGTTCTTGCTTGAAGGTTCACGGGCAGTTTGACGTAGGATATAAGTACCTCTATGCCGTAAACACTATACCCCAAACCCCCGCCCCACTCGCAAATGTTCAGTTTCTTTATGGTTTTGGGTTTAGGGCTTAGAGCTTGCTTGGAGAAAAACCCGGACCAAACGTTTCGAATTCCACCCGAACCCCAACCTGAGTTAGGGTTCAGGTTAGCAGGTAGGATAGCCAGAACCCCAACCCGCGTTAGGGTTAAACCCTAACCGTTAGCTGGGTCAGGGTTGGGGTTAGGAAGTTAACCTGAACTCTAACGGAACTCCGAACAAAAAGTTCGAAAGATCGAGTTAACTCCAACTTCTATCTTCGAGTTTGGTTGAACTCAACTCTAACCTGGGTTGAAGTTCAACTGGTTACAACCTGGGTGCAAAAAAACTGTAACAAAGTTGACTCCAACCCTCAACCTGGCCTGATGGGGTGACAGAACCTGCGTGTTCTCAAACTTCCGCATCATGTTTTTTATGCTCAAAAAAAGTGAGAACCTGTTGATCTTCTTCTGGTTTTGATGTTCTGCTGTTTTTTTCTGGTCAGAAAAGAACAAATGATGGTCTGATGAAAGATTTGGGGCTGGAAAAGATACATTTTTCAAGTTTGGCAAAAGATCTTCAATGTGCAAATGTGGTGAAAAATAATACAAGTTTTTTTCAACCACAGAACGGGACTGGAAAAAATTGTTGCATTTTACAACGCAGGTTTCAGCACTTTTCAAGATTTTGGGGTTCGATGTCCTTTGTTTAAAGGCGTCATTTGTTTTTTTTTTGTTTTTTTTTGTAAAAGCCCGCAACATTTTTGAAAAAGACTGACAAGATGGCGCGTTTAGAAATAAATGAGTTTGATACATGTACAGGTACAGGTTCTACAAAAACTTGATTTTTCACGTTGGCCGTGGTGTATTTGCACTGTGTTTTGGGATACGTTGATTTTTATTCTTGATCCAGAGGAGTTTGGTTGATTTAGTTGCAAAAATTTAGTAAGACTCATCTTTGTTTTCAGCTTGTTTCGTTGAGAATACTCGTCAAACAAGAAAAACTTGAATTGTGTCTTTTATCGACTCCTTTGAAAAACGCTTGTTCGAACAATTTCAGGTTTCACAGTGTGCATGGAATCGGAAATTGATCAGATTCATCTCTCATTGCGGTTGTTGTGGTTGTTGTTGTGGCTGTTGTTGTTGTCGTAGGATTTTCAGGAGTGTTGTTGCAGGTCGTTGCCGAAGTAGCAGTAGTAGTGGTGTTGCAGTCGTCTTCTGGCTTCATGAATGTAAGGGGAGTTCTGGTCAGTTTGGGTTGCATATCTCGCCGGTTTAGGGTTTAGGGTTTGGGGGTGAACGTGGGGGCCCTCTTCTCCATGCCCTCCCGCAAGCCTAAGAGGATCCTGAACCGCCCCTTAACAGCATGCGAAGGGTTTAGGGTTTCAGGGTGAAGTAGGGCTTAGAGCCTGCCTAGCATACTCTTAGAACCCTTACAAAACAGGAGATGTACCTTAGTTGTTGGGTATACGTACCCTTTTTGACTCTAGGGCTCAGGGTTTCAGGCCCTGACGACAGGCCAGACATATTATTCTGAAGGTGTCCCGCGCCAGCACGAACAAGTTTACAAGGGCCTGGGGAACTTGTCCACACAGCCACTGCTGCTGCCTTGGCCCCCTTCGGCTTCGGTACAGGATCGTGCTGACGTATGCCTGCGCTTCGTGCCTGTTCCAAGTGCCTCAAAGGCCTTTAGAATCGTGCCAGCTCACCCCAAATCTGGTTCGAACGCAGACCAAATACGGAAGAATCGTCTGCATACTCCTGGGGACGGTGCCTCTACAAGAGCGATCCAACATGAAAAAGTTTAGAACCCTGAGCCCTAAACCCTAACCCTAAACCCTAAACCTTAAAACGGCCCTCCACCCCGAACCCCAAACAAGCAGGTCTTGCGCCCTTATCCGGAGACCCCCAGACCCTAACCGCTAAACCTGAAGAGAGGGGTTTTAGGGTTGAGGGAGCCTAAACCCTAAGCCCGAGGCCCTAAACCCTAAACCCTAAACCCTAAACCTCAAACCCTAAACCCTAAACCCTAAACCCTACTATAGGGTGTGTAGATTTTGGGGCTGTGCTGGCTTCGGCTTCCGCATGTTTTGGAGAAGGAGCTTACAAGGTGACCTCATCCACCTAACAAGGGGAATCTCAGCTATCCTGCCAGGCTCCCCCCCCCCATCCCCGGTAGCTCTTTCCATAGAGTTTAGGGGAAACCCTGGACCCTAAAACCGAAACCCTAAACCCTAAACCCTAAACCCTAAACGCCCTAAACCCTAATTAAACCCTAAACCCTAAACCCTAAACGCCCTAAGCCCTAACCCTAAACCCCTAGCCACCTGAAGCCTCCGACATGAAACACCGAACCGGCTTGGTGGTTTAGGGTTTAGGGTTTAGGGTTTAGGGTTTAGGGTTTAGGGTTTAGGGTTTAGGGTTTAGGGTTTA